ACCTACAAGCCAAGGAAGCCACGGATGAAGGCAAACACCAGAGGCTAGAAGAAGCAAGGAAGGCTCCTCATACACATTTCAGAGGGAGCACGGCTCTGCTGACAACTTGATCTTGGACCTGGAGCCTCCAGAACTGTGAGAGAGTAAAGTACTGTCATTTTAAGCTACCTAGTTTGCAGTGCTTTATATGGCAGCCTTAAGAAACTAATGGAATGCAAGAGCAAAGCTTTGAGATCAGATGAACCTAAAGTCAATCCCAACTACATCATTTAATCATGTAATCTTGGGAAATCTACTAACTTCTCTGTCTCTCTGTTTTCTTAGCTGTAAAATGAAGACAATAGTTGTTTCACAGGATTTTTATAAGAATTTCATGTATAAAATGTATTATAAACTTCACACAGAGCCTAGCATAGTATGTGCCCATATCCCTTTTTCCCACTGCAGTTTTAAATGAGTCTTTTACTTATGCCACCTGGTGTATTCATTCATTGAATGTCTTCTCTGAGTTAGACACTGCTCTAGGCATTTGGGACACAGAGTAAACAGAACAGAAAAAATACCCTTTTAAAGGGAATTTACGTATGGATAGCAAGCCTGTTCTTTTTCTTAATAAATGAATGAATAAACTAAAACCCTCATTACTATTTGTGCTAAACTCTGCTCTAAAGAATTATGATAAGAAAGGAGTGGATTTGGCCAGTAAACTACAGGGATAGATCCTTTTTAAAGTATCAAAACACTTGCTACAAAGCTATCCTAACTGATGCCTTGCGTAAGGATGAAGCAGCATGAACTAAGATTATCTTTCCCTATAAGATGTATGGGTGCAGAAAACAGTTTTTGTTACATTTCTTAACTGCAACTCCACATTTTAATAAGACTCAATAAGAAAGCAATTAACTTTAGCATACACAAAGTTATTAAATGGTTAAATTGTCATATGTAAAGACACCTTCAAGTAAATCTTCAACATTGAAAATGAAAAAAAAATAAAAACCATTACGCTACTGTAATTTTCAATCTTAAGAAAGAAAATCTTTAGGCCGGGCGCAGTGGCTCAAGCCTGTAATCCCAGCACTTTGGGAGGCCGAGACGGGCGGATCACGAGGTCGGGAGATCGAGACCATCCTGGCTAACACGGTGAAACCCCGTCTCTACTAAAAAAATACAAAAAACTAGCCGGGCGAGGTGGCGGGCGCCTGTAGTCCCAGCTACTCGGGAGGCTGAGGCAGGAGAATGTCGTAAACCCGGGAGGTGGAGCTTGCAGTGAGCTGAGATCCGGCCACTGCACTCCAGCCTGGGAGACAGAGCGAGACTCCGTCTCAAAAAAAAAAAAAAAAAAAAAAAAAAAGAAAATCTTTATATAATTATGATCATTTTTTATCATTTTCTAAAATGCATGTAATGGCAAGCACTACAGTAACAAAGAAAATTTTAACTAAGTGCTATTGAAAATGAAAAGCAATGGAAGTAACAAAACAACAGGAAGCTCTTAAGCATTAGAATATTAAGAAAGAATGAAGAGAGGATCAACAGATTTTTCATCTCAAAGATAATAAATTATTTTATAATAATTTGATATGATATATTTATCAGTAGGAAGGGTGTCAGAGAATGTAAACATTTGGCTTCAGTGATTCTCAGGTTATCCTGAATGTGGATTCTCCCCCTCGTCCCACATCTCTCTGGCTCCATGTCTCTAGGGTTTTCTTGTCCAGTCACAGTAGCCACATGCCACATGGTATGTGGCCACAGCGTTCTTTTTTTTTTTTTTGAGACAGAGTTTCACTCTCTTGCCCAGACTGGAGTGCAATGGCACAATCTCAGCTCACTGCAACCTCTGCTTCCCAGGCTCAAGCGATTCTCCTGCCACAGCCTCCCAAGTAGCTGGGATTACAGGCACGTGCCACCACACCCAACTAATTTTTGTATTTTTAGTAGAGACGGGGTTTCACCATGTTGGCCAGACTGGTCACAAACTCCTGACCTCAAATGATCCACCTGCCACGGCCTCCCAAAGTGCTGGGATTACAGGAATGAGCGACCACACCTGGCCACTGCATTCTTAATATGGGACATGTCCAGACTGAGGTGTGCTATAAGGGTTAAATGCATACCAAATATTGAAGATTTTGTATGAAAAAAGAATATAAATTATTTAAATTGTTTTGTATATTGAGTTCATTTTGAAGTGATAATATTTGGAAGCTTGAAATAAAATATATTATAAAATTCACCTGTGTCTCTTTCCTTTTAATATATCTACATGTATCTACTAAAAACTTAAAATTTCATATGTGGTTGACACTTGTGGCTCACATTACATTCTATTGGACGGCACTATTCATATTATGGAAGTCCCGGTTGTGGGCAAGAGCAGGGTTTGTTGTAGTAAAGATCAGAAATCAAGTAATTAATTCCTACCACTAGCTGATTGTTTGACCTTGAGCCAGGAAAATCATTTAGCCTACTGCAGCCACCTCACCAAAACCTAGTGCCACATTCATTCAACAACGGCAGTTGTTCCAAAGGTGAGCATATGACTAAATGAATACTAATAAAAGTCCTTTTAGATTTGAATTATGAAACTGACAGTAAAAGTTTTCTTTCTACTAAGACTGATAACCCAAAAGGACGGGAATCTGTGACTGTTAAGGTGTAGAGAGGAGACTGATCTTCAGAGGAAATAACAATAACACATAGAGGGAAGCAAAGCTGATAGAAAGAGAAAGAGACAATGAAAGAAAAAGAAAGAGAAGGAGGAAGAAAACTGTGTTTAAGCCTCTAGAGCTAGCCATGCCTGAAGCCAGAGCAGTGTTGAACTTCCCAACTCTGTGACATAGTGAATTCACTATTTTGTTTGAGCTTACCTTGAGTCTAAATTCAATCTTTGGCATCATAAAAAAACCCCAATCAACATCTGCTTGTCTAAGACCAAATCAATTAAACCTTTGACTTTCAACCTGTGAATCAGTGTTAAGCTATTCTGCAAATGACAAAATGCTTAAAATAAGCCAAAATTCATCACATATTGATAGAATCTATATGCAGAAAGCAAACCTAAGGGAGATATTCCTTTCCTTGAGATAAGCAAGTTGCATATAGTCCAATGAGCTTCATTTGTGCTCCCATTTATATCACAACTCTCATAAAACCTGATGGCATTGATTTATACTACTGGACTTTAAAACTTTCGAGGGCAAGACACATTTTATCTTTGTATGATGACTACCTCTTTGCCACCCAGGGAGGTAGATAGGAAAATATTAATATCTCATAATTCATGTAAAAAAAACTTCAAAAAGTTAAAAGACTTCTTAAATAACAATACTAGTAAATCAGATAAGAATCCAGGTCTCATGACTCCACAGCAGTACTTGCTGCACTGTAGAAAGAGTATCTAGCATCATTTAAATTAACTAAAAAGAGTCAGATACCTGCAGAATCTGTCAATCATACTGGTAATGGTTTCACTGCTCTCCCTTACTTCCCATTTCCCAAGCATTTTCAAGCTTAATTTCTACATTAAAATTCTCCTCCTCAAACTCCCTCCCTTCCCTTTTCCTCTTAATAAATCCACTTACCAGAATAAAACCAAGTTTCATGACTTGTAACTACTGGAACGTTTTGCTTGCAAATAGGAAGCTAGAGCCCTTCCCCTAAAAGGAATGCCTGCTTCTTCTAAATAAGAGACAATGAACCATGACAGGGAAACCTCCCTTCCCCATAATTCAAAGAAAAGCTTTCCTTGATAAGCTTTTCTGCCAGGGAGGGCTGGTTCTGACTGCAACAAAGCAATGCCCAGTCTCATTTTGATCTTAACACACTAAGTAGGAGAGACTGCAATGTAAGAAGGACGGATTCTGCCTTTCCTTTACTGCCCTTGTATCATGTCTTACATTTAGAACATTTTTAGCAATATGGTTAACACCATAAAATCTCATATATATATAGGCATCATATAAACACACACATAAATAGACACAAATTTAGGCAAATAGAAGAACAGACTCTGTGACTAACACAGTTTTATGGTGAAAACTGGAAATCTGTATAACAGTTGTCTCTGTTCATCTTGTGCTACAAGAAGGAAATATCGAACACTGGCTAATTTATAAAGGACAGGGATTTATTTCTTACAGTTTGGGAGGTTGGGAAGTCCAAGATCAAGGGTCTGGCATCTGGAAAGGACATTCTTGTTCTCTCATCTTGCGGCAGAGGGGAGAGAAGGCAAGAGGAGGCCAAAGTCACCCTTACAAAATGGCACTAATTCTACCCCTGAGGGTGCAGTCTCAATGGCATAAGCACCTCTTAAGGGGCCCACCTCTCAATACTGTTACTAGAGCAGTTAAATTTCAACATGAGTTTTAGAGGGAACAAATATTCAAACCATAGCACAGTGGGTGTATAGATTTCAATTTTTATAATAATCCTTTCATAACAACATTTTGAGTCTATAGAGCTGCAATGCCTTAACAGTCTAAATATTTCATTCAGGACAGAAAAAAGAGAGGTGGCAATTGAGAAGTACTACAATAATTTCATGAGAGCTATTTTTTTTGTTCACAAGACTGTAAGAGTGGGAATTCCACTTTAGCCTGCCAGGAAAAGAAAGCTTAAGAGTAAATTCTGGGAACAACTAATTTTTTTTAAATCTTTCTATAAAAAATACTCAGGCTGCTACAGTCTTCAGTCAAGGAATGCTGAGTCCCTACTAAGTGTCAGGCCCTATGCCTGGGACTTAAATTATGTATGTGAAAACAACATATCACCCTGCCCCCTGGTGTAGCCTTCAGTTATTAATTCAACAAATATCTATTAAGCATCTTGTATGTCACAGGCACTACATGCAACTACAACAACAACAACAACAACAAAACAGCTAAAATATTCACCTTCATGGAGCTTACATCCAATTGGAGAAAAGAAATAATAAATAATATTTAAAATTATTTGTTTATGTTAGCTATGTATTATTTTATGAAAAGAAGTTTATTTGGCTTACGGTTCTGGAGGTGTGAAAGTTCAAGAGTGTGACACTGGCATCCGGTGAAGGCCTTCTTTTGCAACATAACATGGCAGAGATCACATGGAAAGAGGGCAAAAGCAAGAGAGTTAGGGAGAGTCGGCTTTTATAACAAAGCCCCTTCCAAGACAATGAACCCATTCCTGTGACGGTGACATTAATCCATTCATGAGAGCAGAGTGATTAAGTTTCCAACACATAAAGGTTTGGGAGACATATTCATATCACAGCATCTTCTAAACGGAGCCTCAGAGTCTACTCTTGCCACCCCCTTTCCCCACAATCCCGTCTTAACAATAGGCTATTTATTTATTTATTTACTTATTTTGAGATGGAGTTTCACTCTTGTTGCCCAGACTGGAGTGCAGTGGTTCAACTTTGGCTCACTGCAACCTCCACCTCCTGGGTTCATACTATTTTCCTGCCTCAGCCTCTGGACTAGCTGAGATTACAGGCACCTGTCACCACGCCTAGCTTTTTTTAAATTTTTTTTATTTTTTTATTTTTTAGTAGAGATGGGGTTTCACCATGTTGGCCAGGCTGGTCTCCAACTCCTGACCTCAAGTGATCTACCTGTCTTGACTTCCCAAACTGCTGGGATTACAGGCAAACAATGGGCTATTTAAATTCAAAAATTAATAACAGGTTTTGAGGAAAATAAAATTTCTGCACCAGTTAAGGATACAGAAATTCAGAATGCTGCTGTCAGGGAGGATTCTATTTTAAATACATCAGCTGAAACCTCTCAATGGGCAATACTTGAATGGAACCCCCAAACTATGAAGAATCAAGTCATGCAAAGACCTGTAAGAAGAGCATTGTAGGCACAGACCCCTGTACAGAGGAGCATGTGGCTGAAGCATGGGGAGAGCAGGTAGGGAACGATGTTGGAGAGATGGGCAGGAGTTGAGTAGGCAGCTGACTAAGGAGAATTTTGACTTTAAGTACGATACAGGGCCATTTAGGAACTATAAGTAAAATCGCATGCCTGAAAAAGCTTACTGTTGGTACTACATGAAGAATAATTTGTAGACTTAGATATGGAAGCAGTGAAGCAGTTTGAGGCTCTGCAGTAATCCGAGAGATAACAATGGCCTTGATTAGAGTATTAATGAAAAAGATGGTGAGTATACAGACACCAATAATAGTGTCAAGCACTATTCTGCTGGCTTTGTATTTATTTGCTTGACTCTCATGTTCAATATTTGAACCATTTATTAACAATCCTACGAAATAAATACTAAAAGTACACCCACTTTACAAATACAGAGAAAAAAGCAGAGTGAATGTAAATCAATTCCTCAAGACTACACATGTAATAACTAAAAAGGGGATGTGAAGGTTTAGCCAAATGAAAAGTTAGAGGGAACAGCCCACACACAAGATCACCTTCACTTCTGATACCAGCTACAAGTTTGAGGTCCCCAAGACCACTCTATCGTTTTATAATCCACTAAAACTCACAGGACACATTGAAGGCTATTTTGCTCATGGTTAGGGTTTCTTACAGATTGAAATCAGCCAAGGGAAAACATTCATAGAGTGGAGTCCAAAAAAGTATCAAACATGGAGGTTCCAACTGCCCTCTCCTTGTGGGGTCAAGACAGCATGAATTTCTCCACATCTCTGTATGACAATATTCATGGAGAACTCCCAACAAGGAAGCTCACTTGACTTTGGTGTTCAGAGGTTTTATTGGGGCTCCATCATGTAGACAAGATTGATTGCCCAAGTGTTTGATCTCAGTCCTTAGTCTCCCTGGAACTCTACTGATACTGTGTGACTCACCCTTCCTGTCTCCAAATCATACTGCTGATTCTTCTGGTGTGTCCATCCTCCACTCTAAACCATGTTGTTAAGACTATTCTGACCCAAGGTTCACAGGCAAATAAAGACACTTCCCTCAGGCATGACACACCAAGGGCTTAGAAATTACCTTACAGAAGTCAAGGACAAAGGCAAAATCTATCTTTGGGCAATGTTAGATTCTTTACTACACAGAGGAAGAAAGGGATATGAGAGAAGTGAAGAGTTCTTTTTCACCCATGTTAAATTTGAGATGAACATTTTATATCAGAATAAAGATGTTAAGCAACAGTTATATAAACATATCCACAGTTCAAGCATGAGAAGACTGGACTGAAAATAAACATTTTGGAGTGAACACTCTATAGATGTTATTTAAATTCCAGGGGATATAACAGGGTAAATTAAAGAGAAAATTTAAACTCAGAAAAGAAGAGGAACAAGAACTGAGCCCACAAACACAGCCACACATAGGGGTCACAGAAAAGAGGGAGGTATAGCAAAATAAATTTAAAAGACCATACATTCAGAAGAAAAAATGAAGAAGAGAGTAGAGAAAGTATGTCCAAAAAGAGAGGTTTATGTAGGAAAACCACCTCCTATTTTGGAGATGCGTACTGAAGTATTTAAAGATACTTGCAAATGAATCTGTACATCTGTAACTTTCAAATGAATCAGCAAAAATTAGAAGATAAAATACATATTATAAACATAAAGGAAATACAACAAAATGTGTGTATGAGATTACTGAATCTAGGTGGAAAATGTATGAGGGGTTCATTGTAGTATTCCTTCAACTTCTTGTATGTTTGGCATTTGGCATAATTAAATGTTGGGCATGAGAAAAGGTACAGCTAATGGCCAGTGCCAACATGTTTCTGAGAAATCCAGAAGGTAGGGCAGATCACAGACTCTTGGAATTTGGTATTGGAAAAGGCAGGAGACAAAAGTCCTGAGTTAAGAAATTTAAAGAGAGAATGAGAACGGAGAAAGATGTGAGGAGAGTTTCTCTAAAGAAAGGCAGAGAAATTGAGCAGAGGTTATAATAATGTAGTGAAGGCCTTCACTACATAAAGTGGTAGAGATTAGGAGGGAATAGGAAACTTCAAGGCTTCAGAAGAAGCTGATGCTTGAGCTACATTTGCAAGGATGTGGAGGTTTTTACCAGATTGAGAAAAAGAGACAAATTCCAGGCAAGAAAAACAGCATATGTAAGGACACGAAGATATAAGAAAGGTGTGCTACTACATTGAGTCTGAGTATCTGCAGTTTGACTAGTACTACAGCTGCTAAAATGAGTAGAGGTCAGATCACAAAATAGCCAGAACTCCTCAAAAAAAGGTCTAGGTTCCTAACTTAAGAATCCAGTGCATCACTAATTAGAATGCAGATTCACTGACAACCTGTTGAATCAGAAACCCTGGCAGTGAGACTCAAACTGAGAACTGGAAAAGGAGAACCCTGTATGGGAAAGTGTGCATGCGTTTCTTCTCCCATTCCAGCTAGCATCACGTGGTCTTTCTTCTCTTCCCTCTCTATAGATAGACTTTTCATCTATCTATAGAGAAAGGTGTGTAGTAGCACACCTTTCTTATATCTTCGTGTCCTTACTTTTCATCTTTCCCCCCGCCCATCCTCTTACCTATGTCCTCATAGCTTTTGCTCCTCAGAATTTTGGTTTGCTTATGGCTTGATCTTGCATGGAACTGGCTCCAGCCAAGACCCTTCAGCACACACATCCACTGCAAATCAACAACTCCATCTAGATGTCCCCATACCTTTTAGTTCCTATTACGGAGAGAGAAACTGAGAAAGGAGGAGGGAGAGGAGAGGAAGAAAGACAATTGTCACACAGAATGGGCCAAGAGTCCATCTAGACTCAGTCAGCAGTGAGTAGGACCATGTCACATGTACATAGGTGCAGGTTCTCTAGAACAACGCTACTCAAATGCAAGTGTACAAGGAGAAGAGAAGCTTGTGCCATAATGTAAACTAGTGCACTTCATTCATCAATAAGGTGTTGCTATGAAAAATAGAAGAAAAAAACATCAGTTGAACTAAACAGCATGCTTAGTGGCACAGTTAATTTATCTTCTGGCACAAGCTCCTTATCTTATTGAGAACTGAGCCAAACATCTCCAAGACCTGTAACCAGACCCTGGAACACACTCTGAGGAGCACTGCTCTAAAGAGAACTGTGGATTATGCAAGCATTTAAAATAAAACAAGATAAAATATATGTTGATATTACTGATCAAAAATCATCAAAATGTTCATCTAGCAAACCCATGAGGAAAGTATTCTGAGAAATATACAGAAGTGTAAGACTGATTTTATCCACAAGTATCAGATCATGTGTATTTCAGAAGACAGTGAGAAATTAGCTTATGGTTTAACTTGCCACGGAAAATAACTCAGACTACTAGCAGGTAAATTTCTGTTTTTATAAAGAAGAAAGTGTGAACCCGAAAGCACTGAAGGTATGCCTTCATAGCTTATTTTTACTTCTCTCCACAAGGTACAGTACTAGAATGACCTGGGAAGCATAAAAGTCAGAGAACATTTTTTTAAACTCTCTTCAAGGCTATTAGGAGGTATAAAATACACACCTTGAGCAAAATAAATGTATGCACCTCAAGAAGATAATAAATCACTTGTAGCTTTATTGTTGTCAGTCATTGGTTTTTGAAGGGCAAACCGTACTTGATTCTTGACTTGTTCTTTGCTTCACTGATCAGTAACTTTCTTTAGAAGCTACAAAGTTTTCAGTGTTGACAACTCTGTGATTTTTTTAGGGAGAAAAGTCACATATTTTTAAAATACTGTTTCATAGACATATTGGCGTGCAATTCAATTCCACAAACCTCAATTGAACACCTACTATGTGCCAGGAACCGTTTCCTCTGGGCTCTAGCAGGGATACAGAAAGGAATAAAATGGCATCAAGGAGCTCATTAATGACATTTTATTCCTTTCTGTATTCCTGCTAGAGAAAATTAAGGTGGACTGTAATTAGTGTTATATTTGGGAAGAAAAGGGAATTATTCATTCTGACTATGTGAATGTAGGGAGATTTCAAGACCAAGACCAAGACGACTTAGTCCTTGAAGGACAGGCAGTAGTTCAAGAGGCAAGGTAAGAGGTAACTAAAGAACATACCAGGCAGAAAAAATAATTGAACTCAATCATGAAAGAGTGTGGCTCATTGAGGAATCCTCAAGAAATCTACTCACACTAGTCCATAAATGTGTTATGGGAAGGATGGACAAAGTATGTAAGATCATGTGGGCTTACAAATGCAAGTGCATTCATGGAATTAGGAGAAGTCCTAGGTTACTAGATCATAGAGGTTGTATAAAAGAGTAGTGGGTTCTGAGGGTGGGATACAGATTAGAGCCATATTATGATAAGCTTTGAATGCTATTCTGAGGAATTTAGTGCAAGAAAAAATTAGTGTAAATTTATGGCATTGTAAAACACCCTTTGTTGTAGATCGTACCATTGTTTGAAATTATTCAATCCTTGCTTCTCCTATAGCAATTTCCCTGTTCCATTGCCTTTGGCTTCAGTCGTGTGATTTGCTTTGGCTGATGGAGTAGAATGTGAGCAGACATGCCCTGTATCTATTACCCCCAAATGGAAACTTTCAGAGGTATTAAAGAGTTTCACCACACTGTTTGCTCCTGTACCCCTGCCATGGAGAGGTCTGATTCTTTAGCCTGAGTCTCAGAATGGAAAGAATCAGGAAACAGACCTCAACCTTTACAACTTCAATCTGGGTAAGAGATGTAGTAACAGCCACCAATATAGGTAAACAAAAAATAATTATTATTAAAAAATAAAATATAGACTGTGGTAATCTACTCTGAGGTGCCAAGATATTTTGTTATACAGTATAATGCAGTGGAAGCTGAATAATTCATACTTTGAAAATTATAAAGCTAAGACATTTTCAATATAAAAATATAGAAAAGTTTAAAGAAAAATAAAATAACCTGTATGTACAATCCCCAAAGATAGTCAGTTACAGAAAACATTTTGCAATGGCCTTCTAGGTATGTATATACATTTTAAATGAAATTATTATTGTACTAAATATTCTATCAGTGCAAGTTTCCATGCATTAAAATTTTTTCTACTTATCTCACACCATTTACAAAAATTAACTCAAAATATATCAAAGATCTCAATCTCTGAGATGAAAACATAGAGGGAAAGTTTCATGACATTGGATTCAGCAATGAATTTTTGAGATATGACACAGAAGTATAAACAACAACAAAAAATAGATAAATTGGATTTCATCAAAATCAAATAGTTTGTGCATCAAAAGACACTATTAAAAGAGTGAAAAATATTCCACAGACCAGTAGAGAATATTTGCAAATCACATATCTGAGAAGGAATTAATATCCAAAATATACAAAGAACTTCTACAACCAAACAACACAAAGCAAACACACTAATTAAAAACTGAGCCAAGAAACTGATAAACATTTCTGCAAAGATCATGTACAAGTGGCCAATAAGCACATGAAAAAATGCTCAACATCACCAATCATCAGGAAAACTCAAGTCAAAACCAAAATGAGTTACCACTTCACACCTATTAAAATGGCTATGATCACAGAAACAGCAAGTGTTGAGAAAGATGTGGAGAAATGGAGATCCTTGTGCACTGCTGGTGGGAATATAAAATGATGCAGCCACTGTGAAAAGCAATATGATGGTTCCCTGAAAAATTAGACATAGAATTATTATATAATCCAGCAATTTGACTTCTAGATAGATACCTAAGAGAATTGAAGATATTTGTACATCAATGTTCATAGCAGCATTATTCACAATAGCCAAAAGGTAAAAACAATCTAAATGTTCATCAATGGATGAATGGGTAAACAAAGTGTGGTGTACACATACAATGAAATATTATTCAGCCTTAAAAAGGAATGAGATTTTGATACATGCTACAATATAAGTGAACCTTGAAAACATTATGCTAAGTGAAATAAGCCAGCCACAAAAAGACAAACATTGTACGATTCTACTTATATGAGGTACCCAGAGTAGTCAAATTTATGGAGACAGAAGGTAAAATAGTGGTTGCCAAGGACGAGGGAGGGGAAGATGGGGAGCTAACATTTGATGGGTACAGACTTTCAGTTGGAGAAAATGGAAAAGTTCTGAAGATAGATGGTGGTAATGGTTGCACAAAATTGTAAATGTACTTGATGCTGAATTGTACACTTAAAAATTATTAAAATGGTTGTTATATTATGTATATTTACAACAGAAAAATTCTAAAACTTATTTGTAAAAATTCTATATTTTATTCTAGTTTGAAAGCTAATATATATTTCTTATAGAAGACGCAGAAAATGAAAAGTAGTCTTAATTGACTTAACCTGGAGGTAATCAAAAGAGAAATCTTCATAGATTTTCTTCTTTATATTTATGCAATTGTGTTTACAAATATGAATTATATTTCACATGCTATTTACATGCATTTATTATTTTTATATTATGCTATCCCTTAACAAAGAAGTAGTAACTATTTTCCTATTCACCTCAATAGTTTTCTACATTATTTTCATTATGATTGGCATTTTCACTTCTGACATAACATATATTGTGTGCATGACTATCTCATCTGCACCTGCCTCCCAAAAAACCCAGAAAATTTCCAAATAACAATCAAAAATCATCTGTAACTTTACCAACGTATTTATCACAATTTATAACTAAATATTTATTTGTGGGATTGCTTATTATTTTTCTTCCCACTGGACTACTAATTCCATAAGCATTTGGTAGGGATCATGCATGTCCCTACCACCAGCACCTAGCATGGTACCTGCCATTTATTAATTGTTACAATAACTCTTCAATGGCCATCTTTATCTAAACATCTTTGAATATATCTTTGATCATTTTATTTGGAAAAATTTCTAGAAATGGAAATTCTGGGAAATAGAAACTACATATTTAATATAATTGTCAAAGTATGTTAAGAGAAGTATGAACCCATCTAGATTCCCAAGATTAGTGTATGAAGAGTACTGCTTTTCCACATTCTCAACTACTCTAGCTAAGAAGTAGGTGAGACCTTCTATTTCTGCTCTCCTATTTCCTGATTCTGTGAACTGAGGAAGCACATGAATAAGTGTGATTTCCAGTGAACAATGTAAATGGAAATCTTTCTGCTGCTTCTCCAAGTAGAGAACTTTGTTTGAAGTCTTACCTCCTAGAATTCAAGCAGCCCCATCACCACCAACCACCTGGCTCTTTGCTGGAAGCTGATATATCTGAATGGACGTACAAGAAGTAAATGCAGAGATCACAACATTCACACCTATGGAGAAAAAAAAATGGTAAGAACTTACAATCATCTAAAAACTGCCTGACAAACATGGGGTACAATACACAAAGAATTTACACAAATAAGGCCGCTTCTCCTACTGTCTTTAAGGTAGCTGGCTCAGCCCTGTTTCTAAGAAGTATGGTAAGCTAATTACTTTCTTAACCCAACTACATCGGCCTTCTCTTACAGAAATTCTTTCCATAGTCTGTTATATGGTTGCCTATTAATCTAAAATTTAATATTCACTTTCTCTCTGTCTTTTCCTTAGTATCTCAATGGGGAACTAGAAGGGCTGTCAACAGCGTAGAAGAAGGTGTAGGGAAAGAGACTATCAGTCAGAAGGAAAACAACTACAATCATAACAAAAAGAGATTCAAAACCTGAACAGAAGTTGTGAGAGGAACTTTGTATAAAAAAGGTAAGAATTAAAGATAAATTGTTGGTTTTATAGATTGGACACCTCAGGAAGTTAAGACAGTGATAGTCAAGAAAAAGAAAAGCCAAATAGTGCAGCTGAAGAAGTAGGAGATGGTATGTTTTACCAAGGATACTGATTTTGAAATGACTCTCTGGTGTCTGTACTGAAGACAATATGGAGTTTAGACCAATAATTCATAATATGTAGATTTTGAATGGGCTGGCCCTCATCTCTCTTTATTTCTCACCCTTGAATTTTATGTTCCAGTCTTACTGAACTCTTCATAGTTCCCTGAATATGCCACCCTTCTCATGCCATTCTGTTTTTGCACACATTGGGTTCTAGATTTACAACTCTCGAGCACTTTTTACCAGTTTAATTTTTGCTCAGTCTTAAACGTTCAAATTAAACATCACTTCCTTTAAGAAAGTCCTCATAACCGTAGAGTCAAGGTTAGAAGTACCTCCAATGAGCTCATATTGTGCCCAACAGGTAACTCTGTAAGACACATTCTCAACTGAGGTAGTAGTACCACTAATGGGGAGAAAATCGGTTCTTGGGAGGGGAGAAAAAGAATCTTAACCATTGTCTGTATAAAACACAGATGTACATACAGAACATAAGCACACAGATATATGGTATATCTATCAGTGGTATTAGGCTTTCGTGAGAGGAGCAATTAGGTAAAAACTGTCTGAAATGTTTCATTAAGGAGGCAATGGTGAAAAAGGTCTGAGGCACACAACTCTATAATAACATTTATTATACATAATATATTGTAATTTTCTATATTTTTTCTTCTTCCATCCACTACTCTATATTATGACTTTTTAACAGCAAACACCCTGTTTTGCTCATTTTAAAATCTTTAAACCATCTATTATAGCATATTCTTATGTTAGGTACAAAATAAGTGTTCGTTGAATAAATAAGCAAACATGGAAGTCACAACATGAGTAAACTTGAACAAAGATAAAAGCAACCAAGAGTAGTCGCTAACTTAAGGGTCAGATTCAATTATGAAAGAGACTAACTAAGAGGCAAAAAGGTCGATGGTATATTCAATTAGAAATCCATGAAATCCTGAGGAAGATACTATTTCCCCAGAAAATAAGGCTGTCAAGGTAC